TATGCTAAAACATAGGTAACACTACCTCTTTAATGCTTCTTCCCCAGTGTTTGGCCACAGGTTTATTATCACAGATGCTGATGAATATGTGCTTAATTATTTGGAGAGAAATGCAGAGAGTTTCCCTGCAGCAACAGTGCAATCCATAAGGGATCATTTCCTCCCACGGAAGGTGGTAGTGGAGACTGCCAGCAGGTAGGCTACAGAGAATGGGGTGCTGTGGCTAAATAAGACTAAGATTGACAGCTAAGAGCATTTTCAGCTGCCTCCCTGGGCTCCAGCCTCCTGCTCTGCTGGTGGTTCAGCTCCAAAAGGCTGTGTTTGAGCAGATTCAGAGGGTATGAAGTCCTTACATTAAAATGTTGTGGCTGCTGCTGGCCCCAAAACCTCCTGGGACAGCTCTGGCTCAGCAGCAGAGACAGAGAAGTGGTCACAGCACCAAGCCTGAGTTCAAAAAGTGTTTGGACTTCCAGCCAAAATCACAGAATCACAAAATGGCTTGGGTTGGAAGGACCTTAAAGATCAGCTCAGTCCAACCCCTGCCATGGGCAGGGACACCTTCCACTATCCCAGCTTGCTCCAAGCCCTGTCCAACCTGATCTTAAACACTTCCAGGGATGGGGGACACATCTTTTCCCAAAAGGCATCAGTTCACTTCAACAGATGCTGCAGACTTGAGCTGTTTGATGGCTGTAGGCTCAGCAGGTGGTGGAGGGGGAAGTCTTTTTTAGGGCACTTATTCCTTCTTTGCTTATCAGCCAGCCCATCAGAGCTTAGACCTCATCCTCCCTCTAGTTGTCTGGATGCAGTTTGTGTGACCCAGTAACAACCCTGTTACCTCAGAACATGGTTTGGAGGCAGTTATGTTGTGGTTCTGGTGGAAACTTGAGTTTCCCACAGTTTCTGACACTGTGGAGCACACAAGGAAATGCTCCTTTTTCACTCATGTGTCACAGCAAGGCTGCCAAAATGAGTTTTTGAATGAAATCTTTTTATTCTTTTCTTTTGTAGTGGCATCTCCAAGAAGGACCTGGATGATTTAATTGTGGAGGTTCAGAAAGAACTGAAGCTCCAAGCACCCTTCAACACCAAGCAGTTTCATGAGGCATTTCATCATTTTGACAGAGAGGGCTCTGGCTTCCTGGATAAAGCAAGATTTTTAAACATTTGTGACAGGTTCAACGTGCCAACCAGCACCATTCTTCTTAAAAAGGTTAGATGGAAGGGGTGATGAGGATGTGGAATTCCCCTCCTATGGCTCTTCCAAAAGATCCCTTCTAAAAACCAACCCTAACCTTCTGCTTTAGCCTTCAAAGGAGAACAAATACAAAAAAAGGGCAGGAGAGTCCCAGTTTAGAAAAACTTCTGAGCTGTTGGACTGATCCTGTGTCTTAGAGGAGATAATAATTGCTGTCCTCTAAGGAAAGGGGAAAATAAGTTACCCAGGTTGCCCCCCATGTTTGGCTGCACTGTAATGTGTGAAAATTTCTGCTGGTTCAGGTCTTGGATGAGTAGAAGAGGTTGTGTATCGTGATAGAGATCAGGAATCATGATCATGATAGAGATCAGGGACAGGCTCCTGCAGAGCTTGGAGTGTCTGTGATGGCTCAAGCACAGCTGGGAGTGAGTAGAGGTGACACTGAGGTGTCAAGGAATGTGCCTTAGGAAGGCTTAGAGACATTCTGGATTTAACAGCAACTGAACTGAAGGTCTAAGAACTAAGTATTTTCCAAAATTATTATTATTATTATTATTATTATTATTATTATTATTATTATTATTATATTTAAGAATGATAATGCCCTGGTTAATACTTGCTGGGCAGTATGAGCAACAAACAGCACAGGGAGATCACAGTCTGCAAAGCTGTGAGCTTTAGAAAATGTGAAAAAAGGAAATGTGAGGCAAACTGAGGGAAAAATTCCTGCAGTGAGGATGGAGGAGGATCCCTTCAGGAATGTGACTAGCAAGGACGTTTCCTCAGCATCATGTGATTGACATGTTGATTAGTGGCCAATAGAGGGGGACTCTGACTTTAGAGAAATCTAGAAAGCAGCGGGAGTTATTTCCTCTGCTAAAATAAATACTTTTCCAGAGCAGGCAGCTGTGAGCCTCACAGCCATGGTTAGAAAGGTGCATGGGCAGGGGATTTGTCTCTGGATGTGGGATGAATAAAGGCCCTGACAAGCACCCAGGGCTTTGCTGTGCCAGAGCTCATCAGAGCTCACCCTGCCCAGAGGAATTTACAGGGTGGTGATAATCCCTGCTCCACTCTGAGAGTAGCAGAGAAGTGCCATTCCTAAAATTATGTGGGGAACCTGTGACAATTGAAGCTAAACTCCCACATCTGAGACCCAGTCTAGGACTGTGCACTAAAAACATCCATCTCCTCTCTTGAAATCTTAATCCCAGTGTTCCCAGAGCCCTGGGAAGCATGGCAGGGGTATAAATTAAATATATGGCAGGGAGTTCACTGCCTGGAGAGGGGCACAGCTGTCAGTCACAGAAATGAAGCCCAGAGAATCTGTCTCCAGGCGACAAGGGGAAGAAGAATCCTTTCAAGGAATTGTGATATTAGACCTTTTCCATCTCACTGGGTGAGAAGGAGATTAGTTATGCAATTAAAGAAACAAAAGCCTTCTTTCTTCCCCTGAAGCACACAAAGGCTGTGGCTCTGTAACACAATGCAGGGTCAGGCACGGACACCAGAACTGGCTCATTAGTGGGGCTGTCACTGAGCTCAATTATCTGTGTCTCCCCTTTATGCCATGTGCACATACCAAAGTGACACCAGAGAACAGTGACTGTTCACATACACTGCCTCCACCCCACTTTTGGCAGGGATTTCTGCAAGATTTCCTGTGGCCCATCCATGCTTTGTATTTTTGTGGCTCTGTTGTCACTCTGGTGAGGCCCAGAAGGAAATCAGGATTAAACTCAAACACTTTAACTCTCCTCCTTGCATAGATTAGTGTCACCTATAGGCATTCAAGGTTGGACTTGAACCTTTAGATCATCAAGTCCAGCCTTTAGATCATTGAGTTCAATCCTTAAATGGTTGGACTCAATGATCTTGTAGGTCTTCTCAATCCTTAATGGTTCTATGATTCCAAATTTACCTGTGACTCAGGACTACCAGGATGGGGAAATCCACATGGGGGAATAACATCTGCTCTGTCACACAAGGAGAACTCTGGGCACGTTTCCATAAAAACAACACCAATTTTGCAGCTTTTTCCAATTCTTTACGGTGTTTGCTGTGTTTTTGTCCCCACAGCTGATTGACTGCTGTTCCTGTGATGAAGACAAGGTAAACTACCGTGAATTCCTTCTAGCCTTCCCTAGTGATCTCTTCCCAGAAGCTGAAGGACAGGACCAGCAATTGAATTCTCAGCTAACTTGAAGATATTTTACTTCAAAAGGATGTTCTGTTTTTCACCCTTGCTTCATTCTCTCCCTTCCCTTTCACAGACACAGCTGATTGCACCCTCATGTTAACTTTTTTTCCTTCCTAACCTCTCCCTGCCCTTTTAGCCACCCCCAAACTCAACCTCACAACTGCTGGATGTTGAAATGAAACTTATAGGAGGAAAAAAAAAAAATTCTGAGAACCAAAATCAGGTTCTTCTGTTGTTTTCTCAACCTTTTAGTGCAGCACTTTAAAGCTCTCTGGAGACTGGAGTGAAAACCACTTCAGGTTTCTCTCAGAATAGCCTTTCACCTTCAAGTAGTGAAGACTGCCAGTTTGTTATTAAAATTGCAATAAAACTGTAGTTGCTATGAAAGTGTTAAAAACTCTTTATTTATATAGAATGTCTGGAATACCTAAGGATTAAAATAAGGGTGGGGGAAAACCCACAAATTGTGATTCTGGGTCTACTCAAAATGGGGTGATGGTGGTGAGTTCAGTTGTCTGGAGGTAACAGGGGTCTGGACACAAATCTGCTGACAGCACCTCTGCATTTTTTAACAAGAAATTGGGAAAATGTTTTTAGGATTGATCCCATCTAAACCCACCTTATCCACCTGTCATCTCAGCAGACAGGTCTCCAAGGAAAAGGGAACACGGGCAGTTGGCATAGCAATAGAGCTGTGACACTCGTGCTCCTCTTAAGAGTCACATTACTCATCTCCTGTGAAGGTAACGTGGCAGGAGCCTTCTCAGCCCAAGTGACACCTGCCAGGTGTTGCCATGGAGCACACAGGAAAGGCAGCTGTCATGCACAGAGAACAAAGCTCTTTGGAACAAAATGCTGCTTTATATCAGCTTTTGTGTCGTGGATTCCCACTTCTCCTCTGACAGCTGAGAGTCTCCACGTGACAGCTCCCTCCTGTCTCTCCTTGTTTGGAAAGGTCACTGCTCTTCTCTTCTGGGCCATTCTGTGCTGCTGCTCACCCTGACCAAGGATCATTCCAGGGATCTCTGGTCCACCTCAGATTTCAAGAGACCAAAAATTTACAGATGAAAATACTTGAGCTGTAGAAAGTCAGAAAATATTTTCTGCACAGGCTACGAAACCGTAACCTAACCCTCAGCCAAGTGACGTCGTGTGCCTGGGGCCAGCTGCACAGAATATACAATATAGCTCACCAAAAATATGTGCTTAAACCACATCAGATAAATCATCTCCTACAAATACCCTTATCCTCCACTCCCTCTGATGAGAGCAGCCACGAGTAATGAACTCTGGAGCAGCTGCCCGTGCTGTGGACATGGGAAATGTGGGAAGATGAATCCCAGCTGCAAGGGCTTGGGGTGACAGGATGAGGGGGAATGGTTTTAAACTGAAAGAGTAGATTTAGATTGAATATTGGGGAAAAATTCTTCCCTGTGAGGGTGGGGAGGCCCTGGCACAGGCTGACCAGAGAAGCTGTGACTGTCCCATCCCTGGAAGCGTCCAAGGCCAGGCTGGATGGGGCTTGGAGCAGCCTGGGATAGTGGGAGGTGTCCCTGCCACATGCACAGCTTAGCAATAATAAAGCATCAGCAGAAACAGCACTGGAAGAATCTATGCCTTTTATTTATTTATTTCAGAAAAATACTTCTGCCAAGTTTATCACAAAAGTCATTGAACAATGAACATCAACAAACAAAATCCGTACAAAAAACTGAAGTGAGAGGAAGAATGAAACAAACGGGATAAAATAGCAGAGACTGTTAATTCCCCCCACCCCCTCCAAAATCAGGAAATTTGCACTAAAGCATAAATATGGAAGAACAAGAATTTTCCTCAAGTTCCTTTACTGAAGTTTGATAAGTTGAGTTCAACATTTTTGAGGAAAAACCACACACCTCTGCCTGGCTTTTCCAACAGCCATTCTTCCTAGAAAAACCTCACACACAGCTCCAAGGAGGAGGAACATACTTCACTGCTGGGCATAAAACCTACTAAACCAACCTTTCATCCCCCATGAAGTTTCCTGGAAGGCTGTAAATCAAACCCCATCATCTCCATCCACTGTTGGCACAATCTGGGGTCCATCTACCAAAGGCAAGAGCCTGAGGCTGCTGTAAACCCCCAGGCACTGCTGCAAAGGCAGGGTGGCTCCAAGCTCCCAGAGTCACTTGGAGGCAAGGAAAAGACATCCCAGAGTGGCCACTCTTCCTGCCAACCAGGAAGGCTACCAAAAAAACCTTTTAAAACACTGAATTGAAGGTAAGGGGACCTACAGGGGAACTGGAACTTGGCTACTACTAATCCAAACATGACAAGTAAGAAGAATCATAAACAACAACAACAAGACAAAATGTGACTGTAATGCCCCATAATGTTAGAGTCACTCAAAAACTGTGTGTGAAATGCTACATGTGTTCTTCCTCTACCCCTTTCTCTTCCCAAGCCCATTCTCCAACTACCTAAGACAAGAAGAGAGAACTAGTGCTGGTATTTCACAGCTCTTCTAGGCTAGGACAGGAAAACACTACACTTCACCCCAAAAACCACAGGCTACTCAATTCCTGACCTCCTCAGGTTGGATAATGGACACAGACTACTAAAGCAGCCTCAAACCCACAGGAGAGGTGCAAGGAATCATGTCCCACTGGAAGTTTTGGATAATCTCCATCACCTTCAGCATTGTGGTGGACAATAGCTCCTGTTCAGGGCTGGATCTTGGTGTTAGATTAAAAGGTTTTTGATTTTGATGAGTTTGGAGGCATTTTCCAACCTCACCCAACAATTCCATGGTGTTTTCTGCAGATGACACAAGGCTTGACAAGATGGGGCATAAGAAGAGCACCCACTAAAGGGAAGCGAGCTTGTGGCATTTCATAGACAGAGCAGCCAAGGACAGACTGACCACTAAGGGCTTGCAATGAAAATGCTCCAAGAAAAAGTTCTTTGGGCTGAAAGGAAGGCTGGATCTGCTGAGAAATGACACGGACACAGGAGCAGTTACTGCGGGCTTGCAGCCCAGGGATTGTGCTTGCACAACAACACAGAATTAGGAGCAGCCCATGGCAGACCCTCTGATGGAGAGGGGATTGCAAACCTCCATGATGACAGTGGATATCACCTCACAACAAAGGTTCAGCTCAAAAATAACCAACCTGACAGGTTTGGGTATAACACAAAGATGGAGATTTCTGAGGACTAAATATAGGGGAGGGCAAAAAAGGAAAAAAAAAAATGAACAGCCTCATCATCTTACAGGTTTAATAAACCAAAATCATAAAAAGAAATGCTTCAAAAACAAATGTCCCTTTTCCTGATAGCTCTATCAAAAAGAAAACAAAAAACACATAAATGTAGCGTATGTTGTAGAGAAGTAGTAACAGAGGAGGGTGTTCAGCTACTGCCACAGTTCGCAGAGACGCTACAACATAAGGCACTTGGGATACAAAGCATCACCAGCTACTGTGTGAAGAGACAGGATTGTGCAAGTGGAAAAGCTGCCTGAAGCCAAGCAGGCAGGAGGAGGAATCATTCAGCAGCTGTGTTTTTGGGAGGCTCTATGTGTCACCTGCTAACAGAGTCAGCAGCTCGGCTGCTGCGAGGCACCGGCGCTGCGGAAAGGCCCGAGGCTCTGGGGAGGTGTCAGCCAGCAGTCTCTCCTGGAGGGCACTGGCAGCAGATGGCAAAGGATGGGAAGAGACAGGAGAAAGGAAAAACCTTTCACACTACACCTTTTCCACCTCCTCCCCAACATAAAGCTCTTCTCCCCCTGATCACACTGCACTGTGGGTCCTGTCGCTGCCTCTGAGCTAAAAGGTGTCTTGTTCTCTCAGCACAGGCTACAAGGAGCGATGGCAAGGTACCACCAAGGGCTCTGCTCCAGCCTCCTTCCCCAGCTCCCCTGAAAACAGGGAAAGCCCTCTTCTGCCAGTATCTCTCAAATGTTGTGGGGATTGAGGAACAAGAGGAATTTGACTAACTGTCCTCATGGCCCTGCATGTTTTCTCCCTCCAGTGCCTCCTCAACAAGGAGAGGGGAGGAAAGGACAAAAGACACCCAAATAAAAGGGAAAAAACCCAACTCAACTCAAAGAGGGGCAGAAAATCAACCGTCACCTGTTCCTCAAAACACGACTGGTGCGAAGGACAACAGCACAGCCTCAAGCTGGAATTGCACTTGGAGAGAGCTGGAGTTCAGCTGCCCCCATGGGCTGAGCCAGGGGCAGGACAAGGATCAGTCCTGGACTGCACAAGGAGAGCACCCCAGCTCTGTGTCCTTCTCCTCACCCAGCCAAGGGGACACACCACGAGTCCCCTGCTCCTGCCGTGGCAAAGCAGAACTAAAGCTACGGCCGACTTCGCTGCACAAGAGGCACCAACAGCAAAGCTCAGCTCAGGAACTGCCCCAGAGGACAGTGTGGGGACAGAGGTGCTACTACTGCTCACCTGCCCAACCCAGCCTGGCACAGCACCCCAAAAAGAAGCCCAGTGAGATGGCACTGACCCAAGAAACCCCACGCAGGTGCTGCTCCCCAGCAGAGTCAGCGAGAGATCAATCCGGTGGGATGTGGCTTTCCTGCCAGCACGTGGAGGTGGCAGCGGGCAGGAGCAAGAGGGGGAAGTGGTCTGCAGCAACAGATGGCCTCTGAGGTAGATTTGAGACAATTCCATCTGCCAACAGCTACATGTCACAAGCCAGGCTTTTCCTAAAATTCAAGCTGCTCCTTGCAGCCCCGGCCTCCTTCCCCTTCCCTCCCTGTCATCTCATTCACAGCTCAGAAAGGGATGGAGGGGCTAGGATTTTTGGAAGAAACCCTGGATTTGATAGCACCTTGGGTGGATACAAGCGCTGTATCCTTTGGAAACAAAGAGTGAAGCTGATGGCTGCCGATGGCACGGCTGGACTGGTGTGGTAGGGATGAGGAAGGCTGAGGTGACAGCATGAGGGGCACAGTCCCACTGATGCAAAAACCCTTTGCAGCAATCAGTTTGTCACCTGGATGTGGTCACAAGCAACAAGAACACCAGATCCATGAGGCACAGACAAGCTGGCAAAGGGCCTGGGCTGACAGGAGCCAGGCCAGCGCTCAGAGCGGGGCAGGCCTCAAGGATTCACGTGGAACTGAGGATGCTGCTGCCCCATAACAAAACACTGAGAGCTGCAGAGCCCTGGGCCCAGCTCTTGGGGCTGGGAGGCCCAGAATAACTATGGACAACCAAGAGAAACCCAGCTGGGGCGAGCAAAGGCTGTGAGGTGGACCTTCCATATGAAGAGGAAAGTTCTCTCCATTCTCTGCTGCCCAGCTCTCCAAAATTCTCAAAAGCAGGGTTCAGAAAACCCCAGTTAACTGGAGGTCCACCAGGAGACAAGACAGGGTTGAGCTTCCTCCATCAGACCCTGGTCTCTTTGCAGCACCACCATCCTGCTGAGCGCTGGCCAGATGTGCCCCATCTCACCTGAGAGCACCCCTGAGCCTCAGATCTCACAGCCCCAGCACATTCCCCCAGGAATCTGATCCCATAACACACATTTGGTGCCTTCAAGCTGTCGTGGCCCTGTCCCAGGGGCTCAGGGAAGCACCATGAAGAGAGGGGAGGAACATGCTGTAGGAGAAAAAAGGATTGTTTGGAACCATCTATGATACATTTGTAACCATTAATGAAAATAACCAAACACTAAAATAGAAAAAAAAAAAAAAAAAAAAAAAAATTGCACACTGGTTTACGATCAAACAGAGGAAAGGCAAAACCAGGAGGGATGGAAAGGGTTCCTGTGAGGGGGGATGGGAGAAGGGGAAAGGGGCCTTTTTGGTTTTATTGCAAACAGTTCACGAGAGCAAGAAAGGAAGGGAGGAGAGCGAGAGACACCTTGGGAAGATGATTCCGAGCCTTTCAAGATGCCACTCGTGAGGAGCAGGAGGAGGGGCTGCTCAATCCTGGTATCTCGCCCTCCTCCCCAGGAGACAACCCTTGGCTTCTATGGAGACTTGAGCTTCTTGGTGCGAGGTGAGGTTCCGTTCTCTGCTTTCACCACTCCGTTCTCATGGTAACCTGGGGATGGCAACAAAGGGACATGGAGCTGGTGAGGGGTCCAAAGGGTAATCTGAGGGAGCTGGGGGGGGTTTAACTTGGAGAAAAGGAGGCTCAGGAGGGACCTTCTTGCTCTCCTCACCTCCCTGACAGGAGGGTGCAGCCAGGTGGGGCTCTGCTCCCAGGGAACAAGGTAGAGGACAAGATGAAATGGCCTTAAGCCGCCACAAGGGAGGTTCAGCTTGGGCATTAGAAGGAATTTCCTCACAGAAAGGGTGGTTAAACATTGGAATGGGCTGCTCTGGGAGGTTTGGAGTCACCACCCCTGGAGATGTCCAAGGAACGACTGGACATGGCACTCAGCACTCTGGTCTGGTTGACACTGTGGTGATTGGTCAAAGGTTGAAATCCATGATCTCAGACGTCTTTTCCAACCTAAACCATTCTGTGATTCTATGGAGAAAGAAACTTTGTCCCTTGCACAAGCTAAACCCTTTATCCTCTCAGGACAGGCCCACAGATGTGGGGAAACCCCCACGACATCAGGACACTGCTGGGGACGCCCTGCACGGGCAGCAGCCTGCTGGGGGATGCTGACCCCCAGCACTGACACCTCCACAGTGCCACCCACCCTTCCAGCACTCACCCGAGTCCCTCTTGAGCAGCTTGGTTTGCTGCTTGGTGCCAGCAGGGGCGGCGGCTCGCTTCCGACTGCTCTGCTCGTTCCAGTACTCCCTCCAGCGCCGCAGCTGGAAGTGGATGAAGCGCCACATCACCGAGGCCTGGAAGAGGCACACCAACAGCAGCACACTCATTCTGCCAGGGGCGGAGAAGAGGCAGGCTGAGAACACAGCAGCGAGGCCACTCCCAGCCCGGCCTTCCCCCCACACCGGGGCTGGTGGCCGAGGTCCACCTGCGTGGCAGACACCGTCCCTTCAGCCACCATCTCTCCTTTCTGCCACCCCTGAGCCCAGAGCAGCCACCTTCCTTTCCCTCCACACCATAAAGCCCTCAGGTTTTGGTGCATTGATTCTTTCAACTTTAGGGCAAGAATGGATGAACAGGATCACCTCAACCAGCACTGCCCAAAACACAGCATGGCACAGTCAAGGTACGATGTCCCCGGACGATCTAAAAGCTGGAAGGGAGGTAAGAAACACCCTCAAATTGTCAAGTGTGCCAGCAGTCCTTGGCTTCAAAAAGCTTGGGAATGACCATGCCTAGCAAATTCTGGACTGAACCCACAGCTGCTGCAAGGGTGAGAAAGGCTCCCAGACTGCAAGGCATGATTAGCCCAATTCACCCTCTGCTTCCCACATCAATGGGCAGCAAAACATGGCCAAGCAGAAGGGAAAATGCCTTCTCCTTGACCACATCCATGTAAATGCACTTACAGGTAGAACAAGAAAAGCCTGCAAGCATTTCTCCAAGACAGGCTTGCACTTTATAACTTCACTTGATTAACACTTTATTTCCTGACTTTTCCCCTCCATTTTGGCTCTGCGTAGCCTTTAAACCCCTCCTCACTTCCTTTTGCTCACTAAGACCTTCCCTAAATGCAATCAGGATCAGATCCCCATTGTTTGGATCCCATTTGGATGGAGCTTAGAGCAACCTGATCTGGTGATGGTATCCATATCCATGGCAGGGGTTGGAACGAGATAATCTTTAAGGTCACTTCCATCCCAATCCCAAACCATTCTAGGATTCCATGATTTCCAAACTCAGTAAAACCCACGCTGGGATAACACAGCCAAGAAAGACACAGGAGACATTCCTACCTGAAGAGAATGTTGTTGAAGAGGAAGCTGAAGAAGTTTCCTCTCTCAGGGTCCAGGGCCTGGCTCTCCACACGTGGCAGCCCGAAGCCGATGACCAGGATGTACAAGGTGAGGGTGAAGAGCCTGGTGACCACAAACACGACGGCCCAGACGTTAAACCTGCAGGAGGGCAAGCAGAGGTGTGGGCAGGAGCAGCCCCAGTGCTGACACAGGAGGTGAGAGCGAGATCCAGGCTCTCCTGGGCTCCAAAGGAGGATGGGAGCCACAAGCAGCTCCCCTGCTTACAGCTTCTCGTTGTTCTCGTCCGTGAAGTAAACCAGCCGCGCCATGTGGAAGAAGAACTCGGCCAAGTACTGCAACAGCAAGAGGATCAGCCCCAAGCGGGTTAAGCTGGCAGGGAAGAGGAAGAAAAAAGCATCACTGGGCTGCTCAGCCTTCATCTTTCAACCTTCAAACTCAGCTACAGCCTTGGCCCTGCTGTCCATGAGCTGCAGTGCCAGCCCAAAGCCAGACCTCTGTGCAGCAGTGGGAGTAGGACAGCAATAGGGGAAATCTTTGTCTACAAACCATCAACACAATCCAAAACATGAGCAGAGCGGGGCTGTATCCAACACAAAACCCTGTGGCTGGCAAAGCTGCTCTGCTTTGTATCAGAGAATGGCTTGGGTGGGAAGGATCATCTCGTTCCAACCCCCTGCTCTAGACATCTTCCACTGTCCCAGGTTGCTCCAATGCCCATCCAACCTGACCTCGAATAATTCCAGGGATGGGAAACGCTCTGGACAACCTGTGCAAAGTGCCACACCACCCTCACAGGCAAGAATTTCTTCCTGGTATCCAAATCTCTCCTCATTTAGTTTAAAACCATCCCCCTTGTTTTATATACCTGCCTAGGCAGAAAGTCTCTCTCCACAAAACAATCCCATTTACTCCTTCTAAGCTCCTCACCCCACTGAGGATTCCCAGGTGACTCCCAGGGCCAAAGAAGCTGCCCAGCCCCATCCCTGGTGTGTGAGGGATGCTGAGGCAGGTGAGTGACTCACTTGAGCAGGTAGGCACCGGCGATGTGCAGCAGGTAGAGTGAGATGCAGCGCAGCTGCCGGGGGATCTCCTCCTACCAGGGGCAGAAAAGCCATATCAACCTCTCAGCCCTTTCCACCCATCCTCTCCCAGAGCTCCCTCTCCCAAAACCTCCACCTGGCTCTCACCTTGCGGACTTTTTGGAAGTAGAGCTCAGGCAGGGCGTGCAGCCAGTATGCCAACTGGCACAGGTAGAAAAACTTCACCTGGTACCTGAAATACAGGGACGAGCCACGTGAGCCAGCCCAGGCCATGGCAGGACCCCAAGAACCCAAGTTCTTGCCAGGGCAGCATTGGGCAATCCCTCCACTGTTTTGGAGCCATAGGATTTAGGAGAAATCCTTTCAGGGCTGAAATTATCATTGAGCCGAGAGAGCTGCACATGGAGTTTATCCAGATGCTTGTGCTATGATCTCTGTGCTCTCAGCAAACCTCACTTTTGTAAAACCAGGAAGGAAGGGTCATCCCCCACTACATTTCTGCTGTGTAAAATGAACAGCAAAGAGACTTTTCCAAGGTGATGCAGGAAACAGGCAGGATGAGTAACCAAGCCCACAGGGCCTTCCTCATGAAACCCTCTGGAACACCCTCCCCAGGCTCACAAATGAGATATCCCCATTCCCCATGGTCTCACTGCAGCACCCTTGCTGCAGGGTGCAAGCAGAGTGTGCTGTGCTCTCAGCACCCTACTACCAGCAGGCAAAACTATGGAGAGGAAGGAAGTGACCAGCCCCAGAACAAAATGCCCCCACAAGTGCTTACGGCAGATAAACATGCGGGTAGTTTTCCCACAGACTCCGGGGGTTTGAAATGTATCCTTCCTGAAAAAGAGAAGAGAGGCAAGGCTTCAGCAAAACAAAACAGGTCATGAGAGGGTGGGCTGATGGTACAGTGAAACGAGGAACTGGGGATGACACCCAAGTCTCGTCACAGCCTGCAGGAAAAACCACGATCCCTGTGAGGGCCCAGGCTGAGCTCTGCATCTCTGCCTCTCTAGCACCCCTCTAAAATTTCACCAGGCCCCTTGTTTGGGGGCTGAAGGCTGCTTGCTCAGTTGCACAGAGGGTCCCAAATTCAGGAGAGGATATTTTGGGGTCTGTAATGCTCTGGAGGTGTGGGGTGAGATTCCTGTAGCATGGCTCAGGCAGCCGTGTGCATGGTCCACAGGCTTCTTCCCCACTGGCATTTCCAAACCCAGCAGCCCTTAAGCAACAGGAAGTACTTCTGAAGAGAAAAAGGAACAGAAAACACCAACAAAAATAACTGGATGAATTGCATAGTTTCACTTTTCCGCCTCTTGACTTACAGGATGGGACTCCCTTCTCATTCCTGCCACACGGATGCTGCCCTGGGCTTTGTGAGGAGATGCTGGCATGGGAAATTTGTCCTGCCCAGTCACCATCACCCATGCCCTGTCTCTCACAAGATCCCTTTTTTTTTCAGATGGGGAAGGCCAAGGAAGCACAAGGGTGACCTGCTCTGCACATGTTGGCTGTTTGGGGAGCACATCGTAGCAATGTGGGTTGTACAGGAGGCTCCAGCCCCACAGCCGCTGAGGGATGGGTCTGGCACTGGGCAAGGGGAGACCAAAACCAGCAGCATCAACTGTTTTGCCAAAATTTCCTTCCTCAGAGCCCTGTGGGGCAGAGGCAGTGCCAGCAGATCTCTAAGAATGCTGGCCTTGAATAGAAAAGTAGTTCTCTGAGAAGGGCTGGCAGGACCCTCTGAGCAGTGGGGAGGGGATCTGTCCCAAGGATCCACTCCCAGAGCCACTGGACCACAGCTGGACCCCAATGGCTGCAGGTAGCAAAGCATCATCACTTCACACTGCCAAAATAGTCAGAGCTCTCTCACACCACCTGTTCTTCCCTCCCCCTTCCTTCCCAAAATGAGAGTTTTTCCTCTGAATTCCTTGGGTTGCCACATCCCCAAGGAACAGCATGGTTCCCCTCAAAGATTCCCTCACCATCAGCTTGCCAAGGAAGGAAGCACAGATCCCAAGGAGGGATCCCAAAATTCTGCCCATTAGCCCCATGACCCCACAAAAGGCACCCAAAAACCTCAAGGCACTGAATGTACATATGGAGGACAACAAGAGGCTGAGACAGGCATCAGCTCCTGGAGCAGAGGATGGAGATGATGGGGCCAAGCAGGATTTCTGGAGCCCAGCTCCAAAAATATTTTACATCCCGTTTACCTGTGCCTTGTACAATACAGGAAAAGGCTCTCCCAGAACTGCCCTCACAGAGTGGCTGGAAAGATCCACCACAGCTGAAAACTAAACTGACTGAAATGTGCCCGTTTTGGCCCAGAAGCTGGCTGGGGACTATGCTGCCAGTGGGGTTTTGTGCTCCACAACCCACAGTTCCCCCTGGAAACCCAAATGCCAGCCAGCCCTGTGCCTTACCGTCACCACGACGTACAAGCACCAGATGACAGAGGTTAGGTGGAAGGCAACCAGCTGCCCTGACTCATTGAACTTGCTGTGTTTGACCTTGGAGAGATGCAGACGCCTGTTGATTTTCTGGGAAGGAGCAGAGGGAGAGATAAACAACAAGAGAACATGAGCCACCATCAACTCTCTCTCTCCTCCTCCTCATCCCTCCAGATGAGGATGCATCCCTCATCCCTCCAGATGAGCAGCCTCCAGAGATGAAGGCTCACTCATCACCATCTCAGCCCCCAGACCACCCCCAGAACAGCATTTAACTGCAGCAGGACCGCAGCTCCCCATGGGATTTGAGGTATTTTGAGGACACAAGACAGGGAATGGCACTCACATCCAGGGCGTATTCCTGCACCACTGCATGCAGGATGATGGCGATGAAGATGTAGAAGAGGATGGTGACCAGATCCTTCAGCCCATAGTGATACTGGACCAGCTCCCCATCTGCAAGGAGACCAAAGCGTGGGTCAGACCCCCATGGCCCAAAGGATTTCCAGGCAGCAGGGAACAGCCTGGATGGGGACAGCAGGGAGAGGTCATGACTATGCCAGTGGTAGGGAAAAAGGGCTCTCTCCAGGGTTAGCTCAGGGCAGAGGTGGGTGGTTTCCCCTCTAATAGGTACACATCTCAAGGGAGGGGACACTGGGGACACTAAAGGCTTCCTCCTGCCACAGGGGACAGCTTGGCTGTGGAGATGGGAATTTATCACCTGGAGGGATGAAGACATGGCAGGCTGAAGCAGGTGATGGGATCAGGGATGCTAGGAACATCAGGGCTTGGGATAGGATTTCCACCCTCTCAGTTATGATTTAACACTTCCTTATGATCTCCCACTCCTCCCTGAAAACTGCTGGAGCAGGATTCAGCTGCCTAAACGCAGAAGCCTTCTGCTATTTAGGGATCTCAGGCAGCAGCACAGGGCTGGTGAGAAACAGGACCCATAAGAGTCTGTGCCCTTCTGGAGCAACAGGAGACCAAATAGCATCCAAAATACCTCAGACATCTGCATTTAAGTGACTATTTGCAGCTCTTAAGCTTATGGGGAGAAGCAGAATTAGGAAGGCTGCAGGAAGTATCATCACACAAAGCTCAGCCCACTCCTGGCTGCTGCTCTCCCTTACCCTGATCCAGTCTGTCCTCTCCTGATACCAATGCTGGGAAAAGACTGCTCTGTCACCAGCCCTGCCTACCCTAAACAAAGCTTCATTCCAGATTTCTAAGATCTGAATGGGGTTTATGAACACACCTGGCACAAGGACATGAAAACACCCTGTCCTTAGGAGCCCCGGGTGCTGTGCAGACCCAGAGGTAAAAATGGTGCCTGTATCCCAGAGCAAGGTAAAAGACAGAACTGCAAGGCCAAAGAAAATAATATCATGTACATGTGCTCTGCCTCCTCTCTACAGGGCACCTCAGAAGCTCTAGCAGGAGCTGTGGGAAAGCCTTGGAAAAATTTAGATTCCTCCCAAGAAGCTGTTGCACCAAGACCTCTCTCCCCACTAGCTCTTGCCCTATACTGATACCCCAATAACTGGTCCTGGGGAGGTGTTTCTGTGCCCCCCGGGACTTCTTGTATCAGGAAAGAATAAATCCCTTAAAAACCAGCAGCGGAAGTTGTCTGGACTGTGCCACAGGGGAGAAGGGACCACAATTTAATCTGGAAGCTGGATGATTCCTTCAACCATAACCAAAGCCTTTAAGGGCAGAGCTTTTATCTTCCGCATGTCTGCCTCATTGTAGCTCCACTAATCCCAACACCCTGCTCTTTCTTTAGATGATTACTCAAACACTCCCAATTAACTGCAGTTTTCTGCCACCAGGCCAGGCTTTGTGCCCCGGGCATTTGGCTCATCCCGAGCCCAGGCCTTTACCCAAACCACCTCCTGCTGTCTCCATGCCAGTGCTCAGATCCCTGCCAGATCCAGAGGGGCTCTGAGCCAGGAAGGCAGCAGCCAAAATAGGAACAGGGGCTGAGCCTCCTGGCTGGGAGCTGGGACGCCTCCTCTGGTCCGTTTGGTTCCGAGCTGCACCGGCTCAGAGCCTCCTGGAATTTACTCCTGGGAATCGGAACCTGCCTGGAGCAGGGATGCTGAACACCAAGTGCATCTCCATATCCTCCTCTCCAGGTGCCATCCCCAAAAATCAGCAGGACAGGGATGACATGTACAGCCCCTGCTGCTTGGCAAAGAGGTAAATCCCTCCTGCTCCTCAGGAGGAGAAGAAGCTGCTCCAGGCAGGCGATGACACAGTTGGATCCTGCCCGACCAGGCTTGGAGCAGCATCCTCACCCTGCAGGCAGCACAGAGTGGCCTGGTCATGGCAGAAAGGGAGAGGAAGCCCCCAAACTCCCTGGAAAGCATTCCTTCCCAGCCCTGACAGCGTGAGGACTGGCAGACAGGACCAGAGTGCTCTGAGCCACTCAAACTTTGCTTCTTTGCAAATATTTTTTTTTTTTTTTTTTAATCTCTGCCAGACTGCATTTACTGCCAGACAAGACCCTGAGCAGCTGAACAGCAGAGGGTGAGCCCAAACCAGCTAGGAGGGAGGATTTGGGGCAGACCAGGCTCAATGTTCCTTGGGATTTGCAGAGCAGAGGCATCTCTCACCTGCTGTAGGCACACTAACATTATACTGAGGTAAGATGAACAGGAAGGCAGTCTTGGCTGTGACCTGTCAAAGACACAAAGGTGAGAAGAAGCAAATCAGTTGTTAAATCCATTCCTCTGGACCAGTTTTTTTCTGTCACAATGGGAAAGGCAAATCACCCGGGGAGATGCACTGGCACCAGCTTCACTTGCAGAAACACTGAACCTTGCAGTGGTCACCCACAAGGTCCCAGATGCATGTCCAAAAAGGGGGAAAAAAAGCCTGGGATGAGACATCAGGACATCCAGAACCCAGGGCTGTGCTGCTCTTCATTTATTGAATGATAGAATTGAATCATGGAATATCCTGAATTGCAAGGGACCAAAAAAATGATTGAAATCCCACTCCTATTCCTGCACAGGACACCCCAAGAATCCCATCCTGTGCCTGAGAGCATTGTCAAAACCCTTCTTGAACTCTGTCAGGCTGTGGCCATTCCCTGGGGAGCCTGTTCAGTGCCCAACCACCCTCTGGGGAAACAATCTTTTCCTGATATTCAACCTAAACCCCCCCTGACACAGCTCCAGCCATGCCCTCTGGTCCTGTTATTGATCACCACAGAGGGAACCATTGACCAGCTTGCTTTTAATTCAAAGGAATGACCCTCCCCAGCAGCAAAGCAGGAGGTTTTGTGGGGATGGGGCAGAGTACCTACCCCACAGGGCACCCCAAAACTGCACCTCTGAAACGAAAGCACCCTCAAGCTGAGGCCACAGCAAAATCCAGTGCACTGACATCCAACATCAAACATGTCTTCATCCCATCCAACCCCACACTGGCATCAGGTCACCAGATTTTTCCCTTTCCAATAGCTCCCAGCCAACCCTCCAATGCTTCACAAGCACCCACCCTCAAACACAACCATTCCCAAAAAATCCTGTGCCCGTCAAACACCGACGGAGATGAGCTGCATTTTACACAGACAGGCTGCCACTGCTTCAGAGCTGCAGGCTATTAAAATCCCAGCTGGAAATTGCTCCACAGCTTGTGGGGGAGACAGGGGGACTTTGCCAAGCGTTCCCATCCTGCCACCACCAGCATTGAGCAACCAGTGCAGGCAGCCCCAGGTCGGTAACAGCAAACTCCATGGCGTGTTTTTGTGATGTTTGGGGGATTTTTGTTTTTTCCACTTAAAAAAAACAAAAAAAGAAATCCCACATGTTGTGCTCTGTTTGTGGAGGAGTAGATGCAGGAGACAGAGACCATGGGCAGAGTTTGGGTGGGAATGGAAAAAGTGCATCGCCTGGCTTCAGGCTGGCTGAGGGAGACACTTCTGGCTCCTACAGACCTTGCTGGCTGGGAAAGCCAAGTTGCTTCATCCCAGAGCTGTACAGCACATCCAGGACCTGGAGTTTACATCCAAACCTTGCCACAGGCTGGCACAGGGCACGAAACAAAGGCACGGAGCCAGTTGTGGCTGTGATGCTGCAGGGATGGGTGGCTGTGTCATGGACATGCTAACAGCAGCAGGCACTGATGGATTTACAGCTCCTGAGTACCTGGCTGACATCCATTGCTGTAAACAGCTGGGAACAAGACATCATCTCCAGGTGAAGCCTCCTAACCTGCTGGGGAGGACACAGGACAGAGCTGTGAGTCCAGGAAAATGACCCCAGAGTATCTCTGGGGTGGGAAGCAATGCCTGGACAGAGCTCAGCCCCAGCACAGTTTCTGAGGATTCTCCTTATCTTCCTTCCCAAAGCACCTGGTAGGAAGGTTCCTCCATCCACTCCAGCATCAAGCTGTTGTCCCATCTCCACAGCTGCCTTTGCTCTCCTGTGGGCTGGAGAACCACCAGCAGCTTTGGATCCACCCCAGCACGTCTCCACCTTTCCTTACAGAAGGGTAGCAGGTTGTTTCCTGAAGTCTCAGTGAAATATTTTAACAAGTGAAGACAAATGTAACCTCCTAGATGCAGGCATCTGCAAGGCAAAAACCAGGCTTCCTTGGCTTGGGAAATAGGGATGAGTACCAGGGATGGCAAAACTCTTCAGAGCCTGCCTTGAGCATTTCACAGGCAGCCAGGGAAAGCAGAAGTTTGGAGTGGGAAGAGAAATGTGAGGATTATTCAGAGGCACAAGACTTGCTGTCTGTTTGCTCTGAAACAAGATGCTGGTATGGGAAAGGAAGTGCTGGACACACTTCTGCCCCGCAGGGCAGCAAACAGAGCCAGAGCTGCCACTGAACTGCTACTGGCAGGGGCAGAATTAATGGAATCCTAGAATAGTTTAGGCTGGAAAAGCCCTCTAGGATCATGGAATCCAACTGTTCCCCCAGTACTGCCAAGCCCACCACAAAACCATGTCCACAGGTGCCACATCTACACAATTTTTAAACAATTTCAGGGATGGTGACTCCACAACTTCCACAGCCTGTTCCAATCCCTGTCATTTCAGCAAAGAAATTTTTCCTGATATTCAACCTAATCCTTCCTGGCACAACATTTAGAGGGTAGGAGAGGGATTTGTGGCTTTTAAAAAAGTGTCTAAGCACACACATCCAGGCAGTTTAGCACCTCTTCCAGAAAGTACCCAGTGCAACTCTCAAACACTGGTATTTTCAGGAACGAGGGATAATTTTTGAGCATCCTTCCCCAGGACACTCTCTGAACTCCTGGAACAGCTTGCCCAGATTGGTTGTGGACTCCCCATCCTGAAAGTGTTCAAGGCCAGGCTGAACAGGGCTCTTGAGTAATCTGGTCTAGTGGAAGTTGTCCCTGCCCATGGCAGAGGGTTGGAATGAGATGAGTTTTAAGGTCTCTTCCAACTTGAACAATTCCAGGTGTCTACGAAACACGTTTCCCTTCTCCAAAGTCTCATCCCAGTGGGATTTGTCTTTCCCCCAGCCAGGAGCCCCCAGGCATGCCAGCATCTCCACGGTCTTGTTTGAATTAAGACACTGAAGGAAGGAAGCAGCTCCAAACCTCTGGCGGGGGAGGCTGGGGGAGTTTTCTGCAGTCAGAGCTGGGAAAATACTTCCAGGGCTTGAAAAACAACTCAAACTAATAACAGACAAAATGCTGTCCAAAGGCTTTTCTCACAGCTTTGCGTTTCTTTTCCTCCCCCTAGCCAGAGTTTATTGAAAGACAAACTTGCTGATCCACAATATGGATTGACACATGCCCTATATGTAAACTAAAGCCCAAACTTTGGACCAAAGCCTTTCAAAGTAAACATCTGGCTTTGACAAAAAAGCTCTTCCCAAGGGCGGTGCAGCCCCTCTGCCCCCACAGACAAACTCATCCCCCAGCACAACACGATTTCCAGTGCCTCACCCTCCCTCCTGTTTATTCCCTTTTTAAAAGTAAACCTAAATACTAGGGGTTTTTTTACCTTTTTCCCACTCCTCCCCAGCTATTTAACCCTTATGCCGCCCACGTGCCTCACTTCCACATCTGGCAAAGAGCAGGGGAGGCAGGAACGCATTTTGTTTTCCCTCATTAACAATGGGAAGGCCTTAATTTTTAGAGTACTACGGAGGGGACCAGGAAGAGGAAAGTATATTTAGCAGGAAGCCTGGAAATAGCAGCTCATTTGTCAGCTGCCTTCTTCTGACTGTGTCACAACTCAGAGTTTGGGAGCCCGTGACTCACATCCCACAATCTGCACAGGGGGAAAGCCCAGCAAGGGCATGGAACCACTTCTAAAACAATGGTTTATAACTTTATTTCATCACCCCATGAATAAGACTGAGCCTCAGTTTCCCCATTTTAGAGATTACAACAGCAGAGATTACAACAACCCCATCTAATACAGAAACTTCTCCAAAATCAGTGAAGTTTCCCCCAGACTCGACCTGACACCACTCACAGGAGCCACCCCTGGTGGGACACAGGTTAAACATTCATAAACAGATTTCATTCTTCTGCAAAGCAGGATGGAAAAAGATATGCAAAGTAATTTCTGCATGAGGATGGGAAGCACCTGTTTCGCATTTCTATACAGAGTAACTCAAAATAGTTTTTCACCAGAAAAAGGGGGAGGTTTCCTTCTGGACTTCAGCAGCCACGAACACGTGGCAAAATCTCTCTATGGCACCAGGCAGATGCACAACCAGGTGTGTTTTCACACCCTGAAGGCTTAGGGCTGGCAAGAAAGGAAAAACCCTTTGCAGTGCCCAGCTCAGGACAGCTCTTTTTTGGGGAACTCTCTCCAAGCCTGGGGCTTCCCTCCCTGAGCAACACTACGGTCCTCAAAAACACACACAACACTGGAATAATCAAATCCAGCACACCCGTAACACAAGGAGCAGCCTCATGCCATCAAATCCCATCACAACTGGTACCTGCCCCCTTCCACAGAGGAATTACCAGCTTGGTGAATCCATGTGGATGGGGAAAGATGAAAGACGCAAAAAGATGCTCAAGGTGTAGCTTATGCTGTGCTTGGGCAGTGGAAGACCCATGGCAGCCCCCCAGCATCACCCTGAGCAGGCTGCTGGAGCAAGGAAGCAGTCAGCTCCTGAGTGATGCCTGGGAAAAGGTTAAAAGTCTTATTTGTGTCTTCCCAAAAAAACCTTCCCTGCAGGAAACAGCCTATTGTGAGCAGGATTCGGCCTCTTCCGCTGAGCCTGAGCTTGGCTGTGGCCACTGGCATTGGGGAAGATGGAAGCCCAGCTGCAGGGTGGGAAGCAGGGATGAGAGGAGACGGAGGGAAAGGGACAGTGCCAGGTCCTCCTCACCATGGCAAGGGATCAGAGCTGCCACCAAAACTCACCACAGAGGTGGCACAAATGGGCAGGGATGGTTTGGAGGGCTGGACAAGAGCAGAGGCTGATTGCTCCTTCAGGGAAAAAGAAAGCAGAAGGAATAAATGTAATAATGAAATAAAAATAAGCTAAAATACCCAGAAGGACCAAACCCCATGCCAAGGTAAAGGCAGGGATGATGCTGCCAGGCACAGGGAGCACTGGAAGCCACCCTGGCATGGCAAGCACTGTCACCCTGAGGTCTGCTGGGAGAGCAGCAAAGTGCTGCCTTCAGCATCTGAGGGAGACTGAATTAAAAGACATTTAAAAAACCCCATGAACACCACAAACCCCTCCCTGCTGCCATCTCCACAGGGGGGGTTCATCATTTTTCAAAACTGGCCTCATAGCACCACATCAACCAAAAGCACCAGAGCAGCAAGCCCAGGTACCACCTCTTCAGGATGGGGCTCCCAAACTGCAACAAAACTATCTGCAGGGAAAAACCCTGAGACAGAGATGCAACCTCAGTGGCATTTTCTTTTTAGAATACGAGTACGAAACTTGCAGCCCAAGTTTGCAGCATTTGCATGTGGCTTTGGAATACAGCTGGCGCTCCTGGGTCGGTTTTGAAACCCTTAAATAAATACATATATACATGCACAAGAACATTGCAAGGGGTTCGAGTGCTGTAAGAGACTCGTTCATTCAATGAGTTCTCAGTGAAAAAAAAAGGGGGATAGAAAAGCAGGGGGTTCCAGCGGGGAGGAATTAAGGAAATGGATTTCCTCCTCCTGCGATTTGCTACAGAAGGAGACTTTCCTCCCTCGCCAGGCCCCCCGGCCACCCCTTTCCCATCCGGATTTGCTTTGAAACGTGGCACTGCCGAAGGGGAGGGTTCAGCGGGGGAGAAGGGGGGGGTCCCGGCCGGCGGTGCCGCTGACCATGGCCCGGAGCCTCGGCGTGGGATGCCCGGAGCCGAGCGGAGCCGCACGGAACAGGGGAAAGCAGGCGGAGAGGGAAGGAGCCGGAGCGGAGAGCGGCGTTCCCGACACGGCGGGACAAGGACGGCCTTGCGGGGGTCTGCGGCCACCCCGGCAGGGTGAAGGGATCCCGTGGATGCCTTGCCATGGCTCGCAGCCCTGCGGGACGGCCGGGAGCGGGGAAGGCCGGGGAGCCCCTGGCGTTTGCCCGAGGCCCAGGAGCCCCCGGCACTGGTCCCACGGCGCGGGGTCAGCGGGCTGAGGGGAAAACACCTGCAAAAGGGCTATTGTTAAAGAAAACAAGGCGAAAAAAAAGAAAAAAAAAATCTTCCCATCTCCAAAAGCTGGGAATATCAGACAAGGCTTGGCTTCTCGCTGTGCGGGGCTGATGTGCCCCTCAGTGCTTGGGACGTCCCGGCAGCTGCGGCGGGTTTGGGGCAGGGGATCTGACACCCCCTGAGATCCCCCTCCCCAGCCAGGGACCCCCGGCAGAGCTGGAGCGGGGGCAGAAGGATGTGCCAGCCCTAAAGCCAGCAGCAGGCTGGGTGCCCGTGGGAACGGGGGAACCTCTCCGCTGCTGGGTGAGAGACGGGGAATGAATGGGGCGGCATTCTGACCCCCAGGCCGAAGGGTCCCGCACCCCACAGCCCCCTCCCCGTGCGGGATGGGGACACCTGGCTCGGGTGGGGACAGCCCCAAGCTGGGACAGCCCCAGGGGGGACACCTCATGCAGAGCAAGGGGGGTCACCTCGTCCACGGGGTAGGGACACACGGAGAGCCGGTCCCGGCGGGGGGCGATGGCGGGGGGGGGGGGTCTCACCTCGAACATGAGGGCGATGAGGACGCTGAGCACCAGGCAGAAGCCGATGTCGGCGTGATTGTGGATGAGGAACTCCTGGCTGAAGAGCGGGTGGCTCTTGGCCCGCCGGCGGAAGGCCATGGCCGGGGCCGAGCCGAGCCCAAACTTCCCCGGGCCCCGCGGAACTTCGCGGAGCGCCGCGATGGCCCCGCGCAGGCGCCGCCGCCTGAGCCCTCCCCGCGCCCGCCCGGCTCCGCTCGGCCCCGGCACCGACCCCGCCCCGGCCCGGCCCGGGACCGGACCCGGCACCGCCCCGGCCCGGGACCGGACCCGGCACCGCCCCGGCCCGGCCCGGGACCGGACCCGGCACCGCCCCGACCCGGCTCCGGACCTGGCGTTGCCCTAACCCGCACCGGGACCCTGCCGCGGAGCCGGACCCGCACCCAGCCACGGACCTGCGCCCAAAGTGGAACCCAGCACCCGACCCCACCCTGGAGCTGGACCAGACGTGGGCACAGACATGGACCCAGCCCCAGTACTGGCACTGGACCTCACCCCAGCCCTGGACACCGACCCGGCACCGGCACAGCCCCGGCAGTGGTCCAAGAGCTGGCACCTGGACCCAGCACATGACAGAAAGCTCGGATGTGGACCCAGACCGAGAGACGAGGTGTGGCACCAGACACGGACACAGACCCGGCCTGGCCTGAGCCCCAGCCCCAGACCTGGATCCAGCCCCTACTCCATCTCAGCACAGTCCTGGACCCAGCACCGAATGGAGCCCAGCACCAGAGAGAGAGCCCAACCCTGGTCATGGCTCCCGCTTGCCCCACACACACCCTAGCACTCCACAGCGGGTGGAGGCACCCACTGATTTTGGCACCCACCTCACATCTGCTCCCTGGTACTGTGCACATCTGGACACCCACCTATGCTTCAACCCACCTATTGTGTATGTGGGGATCTGCCTGCATTTGCACCCACCAACCGTGTGCAGACAACCTCTCACCTCTGCATCCACCTACCACGCACATCTGGGCTCCCATCTGCCTCTGCACCCACCCACCATGCACATCTGGGCTCCCATCCGCCTCTGCACCCACCTACCATGTACCCAGCACCCACCTGTGTTCCAGCACCTACCCCTGTGCACACCCTGCAACCCTCTGGCGCCTTGCTCTGCACCCCAAAGTCCCCGTGCTGAACCCCAAATCTCCCTCATTAGCAGGAAAAGGCCTGAGCTGCCTTCCCTATCCCACCCCCTTCCTAAAAACACACTTCAGCTTGATCTGGGGTGTAGCAGTGGGGACAGAGACAATCCTAACAGGTCTCCAGGGTAAAACAGTAGAACATTTGCTGTTATTTATTGAAGTCAATCCCTAAAATCCCCACAAAGCTCCTCAGGGAGCTCCAAGGACATGAGGGGAGCAGGCAGGGCCCTTTGCTGGCTTTGCTTAGGAAAATCAAGGTACAAACAGTGTTTTTTGATTTGAAAGATCTCTCTTCAAGCAAAACATGTATCTCTTTGCTTCCAGGGTCTTGTTCAGCTCCTCCAGCATCCCCATGGATCCCTCACAGATCTGTCTTGTGTCCAGTGAGGATGGATTCACAGAAGGGAGAAAACACTGCTCCAGCACATTTGAGAGAACTGAGCCGTCTCAAACCTGGTGTTGAGAGCACAAAGCATTTTCCTCCAGCCAAATCCAGCCAGGGAAGCACAGTCCCTGGGTCCTCATTAAGCACTCGGTCCTATTAGGCAAGTCCTGATTAGCTGGGCTAAGCCTCTGCTCCCCCCCTCTGTGGTATTGTTTAGCCTTGGAGCCATGGGCACAGAGCTGCAGCCTGGGCCCTGCCTTTTGCAGGAACACTGAAGGCACCAGAAAGGGATTTGCAGCAAACCAAATTCAATTAAAGGGGGGGAAGAAAATATCCAAAGTTTCAGCTTGGAAAAAAACAGACAAATAACAACAGCCCCAGGGCAAATAATTCCATTTTCTGTAATGTCCAAGCATTGTGTTTCAACGTGGTTGAAAGTGAAAAGATGTTTTTTTTCTGGGGAAATCTTTCTTGGGCTAGTTTGGGGGGGGTGTGAGTTACATAATTCTGGAGCTGGAGGGAATATTTTTCACCCAGCCCAAAACCTGGCATCCACGGACAGTGCTTAGAAATTGGGCTGCTGGAAGGTGAGATCCCAGCAGGGCTGGGGCAGGGCTGCTGCCCCACACTCAAGCCCTGTTGGTACAACTCCATCCTGCTTTATTTTGTTTCACCTTGAAAGAGGGACAAGTGTGACCCATTAAAAATAACAAGCCAAGGGGACAGTGGCAGCAGTCAGGACAGCCACGTTCCCAAGCCCAGGCACTCACCTGGGTATTGTTTAATTTCTTAGGGACGTAGCCTCTGTTCCAGCCTTGTTTGCTCCTTTTTCCAGATCACCAGAGTGGCACAGCCAGTTCTCCTGGGGAGCCCTTGGGTCACTCCCTGCATTGTCAAAATTCATGCTTGGTTCCTGCTCCCATGTTACCCTTGAGAGCTCCTCTCACCTGTGGCACTGAGCTCTCCTGGGCTGGGGAATGACCCTCCACCTCTCTAAAGTGGTGAAGAGGGTTTCCTTAAGAAACAAAATGGAAAAGAAAAGGTTCACAGGAGGCAAATGAGCAGAAATTTTCTATTCCAGAGCAGGCATAAGCTGGACAATCTGTCCGAGTGCATTGGGATGGAGATATCCCCTCGCTCCAGCCCTTCTGTGAGTGGCTTTAGCCCAAATGCTGGTGACAAGCACCCCAAAAGCTGGGCAGATCCTGGTCTAGCTCATGATCATTCCTCATCTGAAAACAGTTTCATGGGAGATGCTGCAGAAGGAGCAGAGGGTCTGGCCAGGTCTCCTCAAGCGCTTGGAACATTTGGAAGATAACATCAGCAGGTTGTCTGGAGCACTTGGTCCATTGCCCCTCTGCCAGCTGCAGTCACCTGGCATTTGTGGGATTTCTGCACCCCATGGGTTGCTGTGCAGACAGACCAGAGTGTGGAGTGACCAGGTCACAGCTACCTGGGCACAGCTCCGAGGATACAGCACCAAAATCAGGACTCAGCACCATGGTGGTGACAGCTGGAGCTGGTTCTACCAAACCCCCAGGGTCCCATCGTGCATCCAGTGGGATCTGGGGCATCTCCCCTCACACACACACACCTTTGGACATGAAGGCACCATGGGATATTTACATGGGACTCTTCTCCTGAAGAGGGCAAGACTCTGACAGTGATTTTCAAACATTCCCCATGGCCCAGTGATGCCTGGGAAGTGAAAGGAGATGCCTGCAGCATTCCTGCAGGCGCTTGCTGTGCACTCCAGCTCCAGTATCCCAGAGCTCCCCATTTCATTCCCACTGGCTCCCAGAGCAATTCCACAGCAGCATCAGTCCTGCACCTCCCTCTCCAGTCATCATCCCTGGAGGAATTCAAAAGTCGTGTGGATGTGGCAGGGGGGGACATGGGTTAGTGGTGGCCTTGGCAGCGCTGGGGAATGGTTGGACTGGATGAGCTCAGAGCTTTTCCCACCTTAATGATTCCCTAACACAGGCACTGGAGGTGCACACAGTATCTGGACCTTGAGCAGCATCTCCCTCTGGTGGCAAAGCAACAAGTTCTGGGGAGAAACTCCTCCCCAGCGTGATTTCCCCGGTCTGGCGGCATTGGGAAACATCTGGAGCTGCACCAGGTCATTGGGCCATCTTCAGCTCCGCCCCCCAGAAGATGGGAAGGGTGGGGAAGGGTGTCCCAAGCTGTGATTTGCTGCTGGAGTCCTCCTAATTCAAACGTGGCTTTAGAATTCACTAGAGAATAGATTCAGATGGGATATAGGGAAGAAATCCTTCCCTGGGAGGGTGGGGAGGCCCTGGCACAGGGTGCCCAGAGAAGCTGTGGTTGTCCCATCCCTGAAAGTGTCCCAAGCCAGGTTGGATGGGGCTTGGAGCAACCTGGAATGGTGGAAGCTCTCCCTGCCCATGGCAGGGGATTAGAATGAGATGATCTTTAATGTCCTTTCCAACCCAACTTATTCTGGGATCCTCTGATTAAATACATGTTATTCCTACAGGCAGAGACCCGTGGCTCAGTGCTGGGACTGTACAAGCACACAGGACTTGGACCCTGGGTGCAACAGGGCTCTCACACAGGCTGGAAGCCTTTAAGGACAGACAATCCATATTATCCCACCTGATTTCACATTGCTCCCAAGGAGAAGGGGAGTGGGAGTATTGCTCACCAGTGACCAGCTCTCATCATCAGAGAGCAAAGCCATGGGAACACAATCCTCACACAAACACCCTCATCCCTACCCCAGTCCTCATGCACCAGATTCCTCCCTTCTCTTTTGCCATTCCTTGATCTACCCAGGATTTCCACCTCATCTGAGGTCAGAGCTATGAGCTCACAGTGCACCTCTGCACTGTGGATGTGCTCTGAGAAATCAAAGTCTACGTTTACACCTGATTCCTGCACACAAAAGTATTCTTTACTTTCTCAAAATTATGTTTCTCTCCTGATTGGCCTATGGGACAGTTTCATGCTGGCTGAATCTTTTTCTAACATCCAACCTTAGCCTTCCCTGACACATTTTCATGCCATTCCTTCAGGTCCTGCTGCCCAGGTTCCTTCTTCACCCTCCCACTGGAAATCCTGACAACTCATCCTAGGCCTGCAAGAGACAAGAGTGGGAAGAAAGACCCCCCCTCCACACTTATTTTCACCCCCAATATGAGACACAGACATAGCAAAGGCTGGTTTGGGGTATTTTCAAGAATAATTATATATTATCAAAAGTAGAAAACCAAGCTAGATAAAAATTTCTTTAACGGCCTGGCAGCACCGCTGCCTTGTGTGATCCACAGAGTGAGAAGGGCTCTGGAAAAGCCACTGGAACTGCTCCTGCCTGCAGAGCACAGCCACAGCTCGGGGGGCTGGGGTCCAGATGGAGACAGGGAGCCTTCACCCCCTTGGAATGTGGCTTCACTCCATACTCAGCACCAACTGGGTTTTCCTTGCCCTGAGGAAACGTCTGGCTGGGTCAGCCCTGAGCAGTGAAAGCATCATGGAGGCTTTTTTTAAATAATTCATCACATGTCTGTGCCCTTCCTGCTGCCTTTCCTGCCCTGTGGCAGCACCAGATTCCTGCCCACAGCAGGACAAGAGCTGGAGAGCACAGCCAGAAGTGC